ATCATGGACAACGGGCTTTAACCGGCCTCCCTATTTGAAAATTTGCTTTATTACTTCACCGATTTACGCTCAATGCTTCTCTCAATAAGAGTTGTTCAACATCTCTTGTAATCATGAATTTATTAAACGATCTGAACATGCTAGTTGTATATTCAGTTTGTTATTTTAATTAATGTTTAAATCCCCTATAATTATGTCCTTAACAGTCTGAATCAAGCATTTGATGCTTTGTGTTTTTCCTAACACCTAGTGGGACTCTTGCCCTTTTGATTTTTGATATGCATTACCATTCGGGACATTTGCCATATTCAGTTAATGCCCAAAACTATCCTGAACTTCCAGCCTCCATTGATTCTACTTCTCATTCATCCCAACCCTAGAGTATGCAGACATCAATTCCCTCAGTCCCTCAAGGACCACCTCAGCATGTTTATCACCGCCATCATCATGTCCATCTTACGTCTTCAGCCACTCAGCCTGCCGTTACTACAGCCTCACTTTCAGCTCCTGGCCAAGTTTCGACCTCCATTCCCTGCTTTGTTTCACAACCTGGGCAGCTCAACTCCAATTTCCAAAACTCTAGCCTGATTCAACCGAGTGCACCCTTTGCCCTTGCGTCAGGCCACAATCAGTTAGCTTCGACTACTCCATCTCAATCAAGCTTCGGCGGCGTACAACAGCTTCTACATGGGGATATTTCGAGTCTCGCTCAACAAAGCCTTAGACAAGCAAGTGGTCTTGTTTATTACCTTAAATGAAGTAGCTTCTTATCGTCACTTTAAATCCTTATGCGTTGCTTAGCCTTCTTTCTAAAGCCATCTAATCTATTTGACGTGAATGGAGCATCATGAACTATGATTATGGCAATGAAGATGTCTTTTTGGCGCTTTTAGGACTCACTTCATGCTGTTTTACATAGTGCTATAACTCATTCTTTTATTAAGGCTTGGGTCAACTTAGGTAACTAAGCGTCGGAAGGCCTCATTCAGTCTTACCTTCTAGTAGACT